AGACTAGAAGCAAAGCAAGATAAACTTGAAAGCTCTAATGGAACATTAAGTGCAACTCCACAGGTGCTCCAAGTTGCGCTCTCCACCTGCTTTATAACAGGGATCCATTCCTTATACACATTCTGGATCAAAAAAAATAATAATTCTATTTAAATAATTAATTCAGAATTCAGCCTGAAAAAGAAACCCCAAACCAACAAACAAGTCTTAAAAAAAAGCCTTATGATACCAATCTTTATTCAAGATGGACTGAAAAGAAATAACTTACTAACGCTTCATTTATTTACCCTGAACACAGAACTCAAAATTATCCTACTTAGCATTAACCATTTTAAAATGAGCTGATGAGCTCCAGTTTATTTCAAGTACATAAAAATTTGAAGGCAACGGAGAATGTAGTTACCATTTTTCTATGTGTGTGTATTTATATAAATCATGTATATACATACATATTTTGCTGCCACCTTGTGAACAGTCTCTGAATAAGGAGGTTTAGTTCATACAGACCCAATTCTGCCGTCTTCATTCACGTTTAGCTCAACTGACTTCAGTATAGACACTTTCTGAACAGGTATGCAATGTGAAAAAGGCTGGCTGAATCAGATGCTTAGCAAAGAAAATTTGTAAAGGCTGAATAAAACAACAATTATTCTTCTGCAATTTCCATACACTTTTGTGTCACAGTTTATTGCCACAAACATTATGGAAAATATCACTAAATTCTTTCTGATAAAAATATTGCAGCTTTGCATCCAAGTTGTATAGCTGTCTTCAAGACTGAATAAGCTGGTGCCTGTAAAACATAGAATAAGAGATTAAATACATCTAATGAAGTGGGTTTTTTGAACCAGATTGTGGTAAAGAATAGTAAGCATTATCTAAAAAACTAAAAACACAAAGAAAAAAACATGACCAAAAATCATCTGTATTTGTAGCCTAATCTACCCTAATCTAAACGACCCTAAATTAAAAATTATCAACTTCACACTTCCATTTCTCCACAAATGTAAGTCAAGAGAGAAAAGGGAGAGAAGTCACACATTCCTCATACGGTATTCAAGGGAGCATGGAATTTGTATTTCACACTTCCTAACATGGTTGTGTTTGCCTATCAAGATGATGTCTCAAGTTCCCAGCTGTATGCATAGCACAAAAATATTTAATCTAAACTCAGAATAAAATCAAAAACTGTGCAGGGGACACCTCTCAGGAAAACACCATCACTTTAACACTTGACATGAGTTCCAACAGATTCAATTCAGCTCTAGAAAAATGAAAGTTGTAATATGCAGTGCTTTCTTATATTTATCTTTGGGAAAGAATATCAAGCACCTTATTTTCTATTTCTCAAATAAAGAACTACGTCACAGTCACTGGATAAGGAAGAGAAGAATATCACATCTACATCCTCACTCACAGTGCCAATTAGTTAACATTGTACTTACCCCTTCTGCATCATGCTCAAGCCCAATGTCATGGTGCTCCCGTTCATCATCCCGAAATTGTTTTATTATCTTTTAAAAAAAAAAGCAGCAGTTAATTAGTAAGTCTACTTTGCAGAGAAGTGAAGGCAGCTAGTATACACAACCAATGTCAACCATTGCATGCACTATCTGAGGCCCGGGTCTCTCAAAAGCTTCTCAAAGACCCGAATCTCCAATTCAGTGAGAAGGGGATTATTTATAGCATTCCCCAAACCTACAGTTCTTTTAATTTTCTCCAAAAAAGTCCTTGAAAACTAAGCTGCTGTTAGATATATCACTATCTCTTCCACCGTTTCAAGAAAACCTACAACCTATAGTCATAGTAACTCATAACACTAATTACTTTCACACATACAAATTATTCAATTTAAATAATGAAGTTAAGGTCCCTGGCTTGCCAGATCATCAGTAAGGGTACTTCCCCGTAAGCCAACAGGGGTTTTGTCCATTCTAGCATGCTCTAAAGGACACTATTTTTCTCTTCTAATTTTTCAACTGGGACAAAATGGTTTAAAGATTTTTTTCCCTTGAGATGCCTGCAGAGGACTAGGATTGCTTCATAAAGTGCGCAGAGTTTACAGACACCCAAGCACTGTCCCTACCCAACAGGTTCGCATCACTTTTGGTTTCATCGCTAGTCCTCCTCATACTGACACTGTGCACAACCTTGCTGCTTAGCTTTTTCTCTTTATTTTGTGCCCTCTCAGTTTAGTCTTTATTGTCAGGGGTATTTTCCTTGCGCACGTGTCAGCAAAACCAGGGTTACTTCAGACACTATTTCTGTAACAAGAAGACACGTTTAGAGTAACCAGACTTGGCTATACGTTAAACTAAGCACAATGGGAACATACTGACAGTTAGCAGTGTTAGCAGTTAACTGAAAATGAACATACAGATCCTAAAGCAAGCTCCCACCAGTCAGAGCACAAATGAGCTCCACATGCTGCATGTGGAAACAGGTCAGTCTCTCACAAGCACCCTACAGGAACATGTCCCACTTTGATGCCTAAAACTTGGGAAATAATTTTCTTGCAGAGCTAACAAGCATTAGCACCCTACGTGCTCCGAACAGTGCTCAGGACTGGAACCTGAATGGGTTGCTGGCTGACAGCAGGCTCAATAGGAGCCACCAGTGTGCCCTGGCAGCCAAGAGGGCAAGCCGCATCCTGAGAGGCATCAAACACAGCACGACCAGCCGGTCAAGAGAGGGGACTGTCCCGCTGTATTCAGCATTGGTGTGGCCTCATCTCGAGTACTGTGTGCCGTTCTGGGCCCCACAATTTAAGAAGGATGTGAAGGTCCTTGAATACATCCAGGGGAGAGCAACAAAGGTGGTGCAAGGGCTGGAAGGCATGTCCTGTGAGGGGCAGCTAAGGACACTGGGCTTGTCTGGTTTGGAGAAAAGGAGGCTGAGGGGCAACCTCATTGCTCTCTGCAGCTTCCTGAGGAGGGGACGTGGAGAGGGAAGTGCTGAGCTCTGCTCCCTGGGATCCCATGATAGGACACATGGGAATGGTTAAGAGGCTCAGACTGGACATGAGGAAGCATTTCTTTACTGAGAGGGTGGTCAAACACTGGAACAGGCTTCCTAGAGAGGTGGTCAATGCCCCAAGCCTGTCAGTGTTTAAGAGGCATTTGGACAATGCCTTTAACAACATGCATTAACTTGGTCAGCCCTGAATCGGTCAGGCAGTTGGACTCCATGATCGCTGCAGGTCCCTTCCAACTGAAATAGTCTACCCTGCTCTAACTATATAATCATATCCAGCACAAGCAAACTGTTACTACACAATCATATTTTCTCCTTTTGTTTTTCCCCTAAACCCTTCCTTTCAATTAAAAGTAATAAAAATTAAACCACAGGTCTCATAATCAAAAGGGAAATGCTGAATTACTGAAAGCATGCTCAAGCTAATCCAACATACATTTTAATTTTGGTGCCTGATCAATCTAGTGCTGCTGGAGGAAAAACCATCCTTTTACTTAAAAGAAACTTAAAGTTTCTGTTGACTTCAGCATTTTAAGTGACAGAACAAAACCAGATCTACAGTAAACTCTATGAACAATATTATTTTCAAAGGCTAAAGTCACATTAGATAATTAAATAAGTTAAACTACTTTTAAAGACATAGTTAATACCTGTAATAGTTCTTTGTACTTTTCTGGATCTTCTTCCACAAGAGTTCGGATCTGGCTGTTGTAATGATCCGATATACTCTCTTCCACTGCCACCGTGCAGGCCATTGCACCTTTCTTTCCAAGTAAAGCACTTCCAGCCCCTATGATTGTGGTACCAAACATACACAAATGATGAAACCTGAAGCAACGCAAATAAGTTGCACATTTGAAGACTTTGCAAAACAACAATAACAGTAATAATACAGACTCACCTAAGACAAAGCCTGCTACATTCCAAAAAGGCAATAAAACAGTAGGTCGAACTCTGTATGCAACCATTAGTTCATTGAACTTTTTCAGGTGGTCTTTTTCTTGATTCCACATTTGCTGCAAAAGAACCAGATCACAGTAAAGTATACAACCAGGAAAATTAAGCTTTTCAAATAAAACAAATAAACGCAAAGCTCAGGCCACTCACACTTTGACTGCAGAGGTAACACTAACGTTTCCTCTTTGTGATGCAAAGGAAGAAGGGCAGATGAGGAGAGTTATAAATCAGCAACATAAAAACATTTGCAGAATAAGAGTCTTTGTGACAACACTAGAGCAACTGTGGCATTGGTAACTCGCTCACCACATAGTACCTCCATCTAATCCCACCACTCTTCATAAACCCACGTTTAAACGCGCTTAGGAAGAGACGGGCAGCTACCTCACTATGAGAGCTATGACCCTACAACTTCATTCCACCACTGCGGATCAAATGCAAACTAACTGGCAACGCGGCGATCGCTTTTAAGGCCCACTAACCTGGATAATCGGTCCCACACTTGATCGACCCAAGACGGCCATTTGCCCCGCATAAATGCGATTCGCCCCGTACTCCCCCGCGTGGTCCACGCGGATGATGCGGTCTATGACGGGCTTGTTGATGCCCTCCGGAGTCGCTCGCGTGCTGCGAAGCCTGCGGGAAGCC